ATATTCATGCTTTGTTCGACCTGTATTGACAAGAGCTCCCTTAAGAGCAATTATCAATATAGGAATTTGGCTTTCATATGAACCGCAAGTCGAGCTGTCAATGAAAGAGTTAACAATGTATGAGTACGACATCTCTTTTCTTCTTCTTCTTCTTCTTTGTAGCTATGACACCTGCCCGCTGTGCTGCCAATTTCTTTGTTCTCGGACAGCAGAAAGAAATGTGTTTGATAGAATAAATGGAAATGTCCAAAGTGAAGTACGCTTTGAATATGCAAAAACTCCACATGATTAAAGAGTCATAAGTGGAAGAGACTCGAGTACGGATACGTACGGCTCGCGTATACGTATTCCCTGAAGTGTCCGTTCACGGGTATCCGATATCACGTACGAGACGAGGGTAAATGCCGGCACTGGCACCGGCACTCGCTCTAAACAAAATTTGACAATAAAAAATAATAATGCTGCATGGCGAATGAAGAAACTCTACTTGAATGTGGGTGTGTGTACGAGTGACTGTGTTTGTGTGTGTGTGTGTGTATTCCCAGGTCTGCAATTTGCTTGGCAACTTGTCTACTTTGCAAATGGAGTCGAAGCGAAACCAATTTTATCAATAAAAAATATTTGTCTACCTGACTCACGTACATAGAAGACACAGTTGGCAAGTTGCTTGATACCCTGTAAACATGAAATGAGTATAAAGACGACGATTGCCACGTTATATATATTGATTCGTCAAGCCCAATGATATACGGATGAGAGATATGTACCTGAGGGCTAAAAAGCTGGCTTAAGGTATTTAAATAGTCTATCACTCTTTGCCTTAGTATTCCTTTGTATTTGTTATTCATATGACAATTTTAGTTTTTCGCTTCCAACAATGTCTGGGAAATTCTAGAGCTGTGAACCCAACTCATGAATGCTTGGACCAGCAGCACTTAGTGGTATTGATAGATTTATGCATATGTCAGCGGAATTAGTAAAGAGCGAGAGTGACAGGGAGAGAAAGTGGAAGGAGAGACTGGGTGCAACTCATTACCCGCAATTACCACAGTCGTTAGCAATAAATAAAAATGTGGAAAGCCAAGCAAATCGAGCATTAATTTATGCAATGATCGATAACATCCTGCGATTTGATCGTCAAACGTTTTGCCGAGCGGCCAAAGCAAAGCCCAAAGAGTCGTTGACCGGGGGCGTAGGTGATCGTAAAGCATTGATCAATCAATCTTTAAACGATGCCCAGTCACAAATTGAACAGAAATCAGCAACTTCCGTCCGTTCGCTCGTTCGTTTGACTGGCTGATCTTCGACTTCATGCAATGCATCCAGAAGATCTAAATTATTGGATCGCAACTATGTTTTACGAGTGATGTGATGTGCCATAAAACATGAGGCCATGCGGGCTCTTTGACTGAATTAAGCGCAATTAGCGTGGCTACCTTCGACGGGGTTTGGGGTTAGCCCCGCAGGATCGTCGTCGCGGAACCTCGACACGCAACTCACATGATTTAGGGTCCGCTTCGCTGCTTTAAAGTCGCTGTCAAAGATCGTGTAATGGGCGCAACATCTGGATATTCTCGTACATCGTAACATCCCAAGTTCTTAATGCGAATTAATTGCCGCCATCATTATGGCGCCCAGACATGAAGATCATGTCAGATCAGAGAGCGAGAGAGAGAGAGTGAGCGCGAGATGACTCAAGACTTTTCAACAACTTTACACCCTTTCAGTGCGGCCAAGTTCTGCTGGCTGCAATCCGAGGGTAAGAGCAGTAGCCGCAGATAAGACAATGGATCTTAATTACATTTCATTGTGAATATAACTGTTAATAATCCCAAATTGTTTTCCAAGGTATCTTAAATGTGTAATAGCAGACAAAAGAGCATGAGAACCAAGAAGATTATGAAGCGAGACTGAATTAACTCCTTTGTTTAAGAAATTACAGTAATCGCTGAAAAATACTCAACGAGAAGATGTGAAAAT